TGATAAAAAGTCACAGTGTTGATAATGATGGGACACTTATTTCAGGAGATGATATATTTAAGGTTGAATTCCTGATCATGTCTGGAAAAACCTCCTAATACCTTGGCCCTTTGCAAAGGCCACTATATTTCTAGAGAATTCACACATGATACAATTCTGTGGAATTAAACTAAATACCAAAGTAGTATTCTCTCCACAGTAGAGGCCTCATCATATTTATATATGATTTTAAACATATTGAGTTAATTTACTGAATTGATGTCTTCATGTTCATCATTCTATCACTGGTGAATGAATTATTTTACTGTACAAATCTTTGTGCTTTGTACTAAACCAAACAATAATATCTATAGTAAAAGTAGGATATTTAGCCATCTGTTTGTGTTGTAATATGTGTTTTAGTTTACTATCAAGTTAATGGGCATTTTAATCAGACTGTTTGAATAACTCCTTTCCAGATGTTTACACAATCCTTCTTGTGACAAATCTGATTAATTAGCATGTAATATCACAAGAACATTTACATGCCTAATGGTCTCAAGTTATTTTGTGACATCCATATGACCTTGGTTCACAGATTTCTCATTGGCTATTAGGGGACTAATTTACATATTTTCTTTTTATCTAGAGTACTAATATTCACTTATCATTTTCTTTGACCTGTACCCATTTTCTTCTCATTCCACTCACCTTGTAAATTCTCATTAAGCTATGAATAAAGACATGGAGATGAGAGAGCTTATGTATAAAGACCACAGTCTCAAATTTATAATTAGATAATTCATATTTTTCAACCTAATCCAAGACATTTATCTAAGAAATTTGATAGAGCACATTAAAATTTACCTTTGATAAACATAAACAATGAAAAAGTAAAATAGAGCTGTTCTGCATGATTGTTGCACCAAATTCACATTATTATAAAATGAACTTCATTTAGATAAAAACCTTGAACTATTTTTTACAAGTTCTAACAGGTATAATTCCTCATATGTGGGTAACTTGAAACTAGCAGTTTGAAGTCTACTGGCTGATCACACTACAGAAGAAGCAGAATCAAACTTTTCCCTTTGTGTATTATAAAATTTTTGTCAGAATAACAGAAGAATTTTGATATGTTAAATAGTAAGCTTGTAGCAATAGTAAAAGAAAGAAATTTCTTAACTCTTATTGAATATGTATTGTAGGTCAACTATGCATAGTAGTGCTTAGCTCTTTGTATGCACTATCTTGTATAATATTCACAATGTTAGACGTATTATTTCAATATTCTCTACCAGTCTAGAATCTATAAGTGCAAAGATGCATATATTTGTTTCCATTGTCCTCAAAATAATCAGAAATTATTTATAAGTCCATATCAAAAAGGAAAAATATTAAATATTTGTATAGAGCAACTCTCATGTCAACTGGAAGGTCTAAATTATTGGGCTAATCATGATCATTTTCTTCTATGTTCATTGGGTTTATTTATTTCAGACCGGTTTTTAATTTTTATTTTATTTATTTGTATTTGGTGGTACTTGGGTTTGAACTTGGGCCCTTATGTGTGCTAGGCAGGTGTTCCCCCACTTGAGCTAGTCTCAGCCCCCTTTTTTATTCATTGGGAACAAATGTTTCAGATCTGCTTTATTCCACAATTTTTGTTTGTTTATTTGTTTTTAAGACTGTCCCATTAGGTCAAGGAATTATGAATCTGAGCAGACTCCATCTGTTTTCTGGTCCCTCATAATTTAAGGCTAGTGATAGGCAATTAGACAATTAAAATAATATATGAGTAGAAAACTCAACCTTTGTTATCTGATTTTTTTGACTTGTACTCTGTTTTCATATGTAAGCAAGTTTGATTTGAGTTGATTTGACTATATTATGGTGCAAAATCGCTGTGATTTCCAAGTTAGCAAGCAGTAAACACTTGCCAGATTTAATCACACTATATGATTTTGGTAACTATGTATTTTCTTTCAGTGTATGTAATGTATACATTTTGTTGAAAGAGGAAAGCTGGAAGCACTGTGTAATTGTTATAGATCTGAAAGTATTCATTTTTGATTACTAATTTAGGTTTGGACTTAAATTTAGAGCTTCAAAACCGGTGAAGTAAAATATATCTAGCAACTAACAGAAAAATGAACTGTGAAATAGCACAAGAGAAAAAAGCATTGAGACTGATGATGCTTTAAATATTTATAAAGTTATTTTTTTTCTAATTAACTAGTTGCAAATTGGGGACATTCAATATTAAAACTATCTTTTCTTCTGAGTTTTACCTTTAAAAATTTTAACTTGAGACACAATTCTAGCATCATCAATTCATGTTATCTTCAATTTTTATATATGATTGTTAGGAACCAACTGTATGTGGCATCTACTAATCCAGTTCAAACTTTAGAATTGTATTTTTTCTAGCTAGTGTTTTTAGTATTTCTTCTTTTGTTAATTTCTCTAAGAAAAGACATGAAATCTTTCTCTTATATGTAATTGTAATAAAATATTGATGCTTTGACATATATTTGTGGCTATAAGACAAAAATACTATTCAATGCTTCATATGTTCTCATGGCATATAAAAGTTTTCTAGCTCCTTTATTAAAACTGTGGTAAAATACACATTTGTCATTGAGAACAATTAATTTATGCTGATACTATATTGTCAACTCAGGGTTCCTTAGGTAGGCCCTTGCAGAAGTCTTGTGTTTTCAAGGGCATTTCTATTCATCATCCACATGACAAATAAGAGGCTTAAGTTAATGAAATAAATGTTTTTGGAAAAAGAGGTAGAGACATCCCTCCTCTCACCTCTCACCCAATGAGACATTTTGATAATGGTGAAGGTATTTCCTTGTTTTCAATAAATATTCCTCTATCATTTTGTAAAAATACTTTGTTTAATAGCTCAAACCATCCACTAACACTGTCTCCTGCCAGGCTACCTAGGTGTGATGAGACACCTATTTGAGTAAAGAATAGGTTACGTCACGTATTCATCAGTGAGGAGGAGCCGGTACCATACTAGCAGGTGTTGCCAGGCGTGGCCAGACAGCTAGCTTTGTTTATCAACAAGGAATAGCTGGTAGCACACTGGCAAGTGTGCCCAAGTGTTATTCAGGAGTGTCAAGGTGTTACCAATAATGAGCCATAGTTAGTCATGAGTATGAATCTGCATTGGGCTATGTGATATTCATATTCTCCTCTGGGGTTTGTGTCCACCAATGCTATCCCATTTATTACTTCTTATATATTCTTCTTTCTGATATGGCATCAAATAACAACCAGAAAGTCCTCTCCTTGGGCATCTCCTACTTCCAACCTCAAGAAACCATGGAAGTCCTTCTCTTGGTGTCAGTCCAATAGTGAACGATATTAGACACTTTTCTTTACATTGTTTTGGGTAGACTCACCCGTTGTAGCATACCAAGACTGATGTGGTAAGAGTTCCAACACAGCAGGAGGCAGTGTTACTTTCTGTGCATGGAGAAGTTGAAGGCAAGTATTCCTGGCAGGGTGTGATCCTCTTCTTTCTATTGTGTAGTATCTCAGTTTCTTTCCTTTTGGTGACCTGTTGTCCTCTATGACTCCTAGCATCATTTATATCCAGCTAGAAAGGGAAAATGTGGGTGGAGGTGTGCCACCTCTCACTACCTAAAAGCCTAGGTCCACAATGGTACAAAAATTTTGTGAATAACGTCCTTTCATGACAACCCAGTCACCCCTGGATGAAAGGAAAGCAGAAAAATTTAACCTGGATTGGGAGGTGTGTTGCAGGTGAAAATAGATTTGGGACAATGGGCTTATGTGGCAACCATATTCCATAAAGGGAGTGTTAGGGTAGAAGTTAGGATTATGGTGGTTGTCTGGTCAGGTATCTTTTGTAAGACGAAGGAGGGTTCTTCCATAACACAAAAGCACAGAAACTACCATCTCCCTTTCTTTCTTTGGGTGGTGAAGCTTTTAGGAACCTCAGTTCTGTGACAGAAAAAAAGGCAGTATCTTCTGACTGTATCTCATGCTACAGCATTTGGGGTGACCAAATGCTGACCTGAATCATTCTTCTTAAGGAAAAAATTGCATTTGATGAATGGTTCTTTTGCATTGTTCATGCTTTTTTGGTAATGCACCCTTCTAATAAGTCAAGGGTTTCTTATTATCACCAATGGTTGACTAATTTGGGTTCATTGCAAATGCTAGCAACAAGGTGCTTTTCAGAACCTGACTATTTCACAGAAAACATAGGTGCTTATTGATGTTTAAAGTAGATCCTCATTCTCTTACTGCTCCACTAATTAACAAGTCTGTATTGATAAAAGATTGCATATGCACATTAACTCTAAATTATTATTAATTTTTTAAATTATTAAATTATTAAAGAATGTTTAATTAACAGGCTTAAACAACTTTGTGATATAATACTAATAGTGTGTTGCAATTGTGAGAATTCTAAAGGTTCCATAGGGTCACTACTAACCTATTTTGATTAGTATTTATGGTATATTAAAATTAAAATGAGTGACTTGTTAGAAAATGAAAATATATGTAATAGATATGTATATACATATAATCCAAGTTCTCCTCAAATTGTACTTAACATGCTCTGTGAATATTATAATAATGTGTTTTATTTGGGCGCTAGGGATGGAACCCAGGGATTTGTTCATGTTAAGAAATACTCTACTACTGAGATACACCTCCAGCCCCATCACCCCTTCATTGAATGCCATGAGCTGAGATAGAATGTGTGTGAATGCATGTTTAATTACATGGTGTTGCTGTTGCATGCAGTCCAAAATCATAACTTTGGTCCTTATTTCTTTGGAAAATTATCATGGAATGTCGTCAGTTTTCTGGGGAGAAGATGCATCTATTTTGCAAAACAGGCAAGGTTAAATTTAATGGCCTAAAATGTAGAACTTCCTTTCAGATTACATAGCATCAGACTTCATTTGTGTTTATTACATCAAAAAAAAATTCTCACTCCCTATCTTTGTCTCTGTCTCCTTCAGGCTCTGTTCCCCAAGAAAAACTACGAATGCTTGACTAGCTGTGAGTTCCTCAAGTACACCCTCCTGGTGAAGCAGGGGGATTGCCCGGCACCCGAGAAAGCTAGTGGATTTGCTGCTGCCTGTGTGGAAAGCTGTGAAGTTGACAATGAGTGTTCTGGGGTGAAGAAATGTTGTTCTAATGGATGTGGACACACCTGCCAGGTGCCCAAGACACTGTACAAAGGTAAAGAGCAAAGCAGAGGATGTGAGAGTATCGTGGGAGTTTGCTTGTTCCCCAGGAAACCATGTCAACCATATATATGGAAAGTCAAGAAAATATGAAACTTTAAAGGAATTTATTTTGTGCCATATACAAATATTTATTTAACGATGAGTGTTTCATCATGTTAATTGAAACAAGTCAGGTTCAGAAAGACAAAGTTTGCATATGTTCTCTTGTATGTGGAAGATAGATCCAAATACAAATACAAGCATTATCATATATACATAAATATATACAGAACATGCTTCCAAAAGTGGGAAGGTTAGAGGAAACTAAGGGAGGAGGAAAAGAAATGCATCACATCTGTGTAGGAACAAGACACAACAACACACACTGAAAACTGCAGAACAATACAAGGTAGGGGGAAAAGGGTAAGGAAGTGTAATAGAAGGATTAGACTGATTACAGCACAATGTATTTACAAGTGAAATAGAGGAATGTAAAACAGGTCATGTGTAGGGAGGGTAGTAGTGGGAGGAGGAGGGTAAATGAAGAGAGTAAAGGAGGGTGAATATGGTTGAGGTACTTCCTATACATGTATGAATATGGAGCATTGAAACCTGTCAAAGTCATTTTAAGAAAGGGAGTGGGGAAGAGGGAGTAATGGAGGAGATGAACCTAACCAGGGTAAAATATATGAATATATGAAAACATCTCAATGAAACCTCCTGTATAACTATCATACACTAATAAAAACACTTTTTGTGGTACTGGGGTTTGAACAAGAGCCTACACCTTGAGCCACTCAACCAACCCTTTTTTGTGATGGGTTTTTTTCAAGACAGGGTTTTACAAACTATTTGCCTGGGCTGGCTTTGAACTGCAGTCCTCTTGATCTCTGCCTCCTGAGTAGCTAGGATTACAGGCGTGAGCCACCGACGCCTGGCTATTAATAAAAACATTTAAAAAATAAAAATAAAACAAAATTTTATAAACAGTAAAAAAGATAAGTGTTTAATACTCAGGGATCTTAGAGATCAGCCACAATAAACTCAAATTGAGGAAGAATAAATATGTATAATTTTTAAACTTTACATATACAAAGAACAGTAACAATTTAGAAACTTAAAATGTTTTTTCTTTAGGAAGAATAGATCAATTAAGCTCTACCAGGTACATTGGAATAAAAAGACTTAAATCCTTGGAAAATAGGGTGAGGGTGAGGCACACTCAAAAAATGCATGATAAATGTACTTGTACTGTGAGTTTTCTGTTGGCATAATCCAAGAACAGAAGTATCATTGTATAGACTTTAAATATTTTGTTTAGTATCTTGAGATTCTAGACTTAGGAATTACTCTTTTCCAAAAGATGGGGACTCCATTTATCACACATTTTTGTAGGCAAAATAGCATACATTCATGAGCAACTTTGCAGAGCACCTAACTCCTTGATGCTCGGCGTACTTGCCTTTTTCTATAAATGTGATTAAGTTCTCTTATGCCAAACAGATTGTTATATTATGTATAGTTTTGAAGGCTCTCAGGGTACACTATGGCATATAAGATTTTGTACATTTTTAGCCTAAGGTGAGGAGTGAAGTAGAATCAATCATGGGTGTTATTCATTACACGTAGAAGAGCAACAGATAGATTTCTCTTGCTCTTTTGTATGTACATGCGAAATGTATATCATTTGTAACTACTGATAGTCTTTTTTTACAAAGTGTCTGCAGAACAGTATTTGATAGTAATAGTAGTTTTGTGTTAAGTGCTGGCTGACTGTTTTTAGACCAGATCAGGGTGGTATGGCTATAGACTGGCTATTTTTAGAAGTCCCCTACCCTTAATACTAATTCACCTCTCCCAGAGGTAATGTACCTATCCTATATCCCACTAAGTTCCTCTTGGAAATACCCTCCTTTCAAATCTATATAATCTATCCAATTTTCTTTTTTTTTTTTAATTTGCCTAGGATCCTTGGAAATCTGCAAAACTATTGTCCTAAATTCAAAGTAATTGCTGCTTTTCCCTTTTTACTGAACTGAATGACATTTCTTTAATGGATGTAAAATTTTATTGTTTTCATGCCTCTTATTGTAAATAAAAATAATTTTGGCAAAGTCTAAAACTTTTGAATTTCTAAAATGTCTGATATTGTGAAGCCTTACATGTTATAGATCATATGCTATTTATTAGCATTTATCATTAAAATAGAATACTTTTAGATGATAAATTTAAGTCAGTTTGTAAAATTGATTGTATTTTAAAAGTAGAACATTTTTAAAGAGGTAACACAAATTAAAATGCATTTTTATTAAAAATTGGAGAATTGGTATGAATTTCAGTTATGTATGGTTCACCAAGAATAAAGGGAATATTCAAGGAAGGGCCAGAATAAATTATTAATTGTGCAAAGATACTTGCAATTTAAATCTATGCTTAACAAAGTAAGATAGACTTTCTAAAAATTCTAAAATCGCTCTTCTATAACAAAGTAGCTCTTAACTTGAACTTTTGTGGGAAGAAGGAATTCATGGAGAACTAACCACAAATAGAATAAATAGGCTGTTTATCTGATGATCGTTTGTGCATGATGACCATGGTAAGGCTAATCTATTGTTATTGTGAAAAGATAGATTATATATAGATAGATAGATAGATAGATATATCTATACAAATGTATACAATATGTATACATTTTTGTCATCGTTACTTGAGTAACCCCTCCAGGAAGACTGGTTTCCATGTCCCAAGAGCATTTCAGAGTACCTTTGAATTAGTTAGTGTGTGTGAACAGGAAGAACAGATAGAGCCCATTCCAATCCTTTCAATGACATCTTAGCTAATGAGCCACTTGAAGTCCCTGTTGACATTTTCAACCAGAAGTTAAGCTGCTTGCTGCCTCTCAAAAGAGGGGACTGGTTTCTGATGGCCTCAATCCCAAATAAAATACTACTTTGACTCAGCCCTTATCTTTTCAAGGAGAAAAACACCGGTCCAGCCAATCAACGTGCAAATGAAGCTTGGCAATATTGGGGTACTAGATGTCACTGTGGTACCTTCTTTCAAATTGCCTTCTTATTCCTCCAAACTAACTGATGGGAAATATGTGTGCCTGTCTCTCTTTGCCTCTTCTAGGTTTGAGTCATCCTTTTCCTAAGAAAAGTAGGATCCATGGTTGGTTGAGATTAGCTGGTCCTGCTCTTAGTTCACAGCTAATGAAACTGAGGTTGTAGCATGTTCCCAAATGATTTGGTAGTTGTGAGCAGAACTATATCCTGTTTCCACCTGGGCTAGCTCATCTGCATTTTTATTTTCACTGTACAGGAATAGGACCCTAAATCAAAGCTATTATTGGGCATCTTTGTATTATCCAAGAGTAGGCCAACTAAAAGATATGTCACTATTGGATATCTTGAATCTAATTGATCACTGGATTATCAACATTTGGAGTTGATGATAACATGGGATTATTTTCCCATTGGACTTAATTATCATCAATTGCTTTGTACAAAGTATTTAAGTTAGATATGGATTACACATTAGAGAGGACTGTGATGGTTAATCTTGATTGTCAACTTGATTGGGTTGAGAAGAACCTAGAAGCTTAATAAGGCACAGTTCTGGGTTAGGGTGTTTTCCTAAGAGGATTAATGAAAGTTGGAAGATCTTCCCTGAATATCAGTGGTATCACCCAGTGGACCTGAAGCCCAGGTAGAATAAGTGGGGAGGAAGGAGGAAGTCTGCTAGTACAGGCATTCTTGCTGATCCTTGGCCACCATCAGGTGAGCTACTTTATTCTACCACACATGGTTTTGCTGCTGTGATGTTCTGCCTCACCACAGGCCTATAGTAATGGAGCCAGCGGACTTCTAAAACCCTTAGCCCAAATAAATATTTCCTCCTTTAAACTGTTTCTTTCAGGTATTTGTTACAGCAACAAAAGGTTGACTAACACAAGGACCAAATTATATTGGCTAAATCAAGAAATTAATCCTATGTCAGTTTAAAAAAAAACCTTGATCATAGAGTTGTTTTAATATTTCCACAAATATCTTATATGAAATTTAAACTTCAGACCCTTAGAGATGGCTAATATAGCTTTTCATGATTAAAAAAAATTTTAATCTAGTGGTTCAAAGCCTTCATGCTATGTATGTACAAATTTCTGGAGCACTGCTTATCTTTCTGAGAGACATGAAGTAGTGGTACATTATTGAATCAATTGACCATTACTTCTTGCCACATGTTCCTATCATTTAGACTCATGACAGTAAATATTACACTACTAATAAAATCTCAACATGGGTGTGCAACTGATAATTATTTATTATCATCAGTTTTTCTTTCATCTTATTTTCAACGTCATTTAAGTCCTTGATTTCTTTTCTTTCAATTCCACCAGAATATTTTTAGCATTTTAAAGAAAAAAAATTAGACCTCATTTCTCACGTTATGGGGTGACATGATAACATTTTAAAATTTCTTAGCAGAACAGTTTAGATTTCAGATGACTAATTTGTTCAAAAATAGTTTTTACAAAGAAAAAAATTCTAATCATTGGCATAACAGAAAACACATTGAGAAGAGATCCTGTGTACACATCTGGTTATGCAATTGGGATACTCATTCAGCTTGTGAGGACTGTGTGCACCGGCAGTGAGGTCTGGAGGTCTTGAGGGTGCTGAGCTCCATCTGCACACAATTACATCAGAGCGCTGGAGTTACTTCCAATCAAGAGAGCCAACTAACCCTAATGCAAAGCAGATGGACCATTTCTTAACATGCAAATTGTAGCAGCATTGTACATCATAATTAAAGAGATTTTTAGATGAAGAAATTCAAACTGACATTGCCCTGATGCTCATTAAGTTAGATGAAGGCTGTTGGTAGTTGAATGATATTTGAGATTAAAATCTTACAGTAAGGGGATTTGGGTACTTGGCATTTGCTTCTGATGAGTTCAGGGTAGTTGAGTGACTAGAGTGTTACTATGGCTGTGTTTACTCTTAAGGATTACACGTGGGACAGTCAAGGAGAACGTTGGAGCTGGAAGTCTCAGAAACAGTGCTATAGTAGGTTGCAGAACTCATTGGTCATCTTCTCTTTCATGCATAGAGAAATCACATAAACCATGAGATGTTCTCAGGGCTACATAACCTCTCAGTAGAATAATTGGTCTGGCTCCTACCTGCCTACTCATCTGGAATGCAAGAATGACACAAAACCATCATTTGTCCAGTTTTATTTTTCATCACTCTGAATAAATTTTCTTGACTTTCTTTCAGCTACTTCTTGATTACAGCTGCCAAACTGTGATTTCTATCCTCTCAGAAATGTTTTTTTTGAACTTGAAAAGTCCTAGGGCCCACACAATAAAATGGCACTATCTTGTAAACATTTTAACATTGCTCTATTTTTATTATTTAACTTTAAAAAAATAAAAATAAATGTGTACTTGGGTAATATGTCATTGATGGAGGAAATTTGAGTTCTGTGAAAGAATATATGGTAGAGAAGGTGGTGCCAAATACCTGTGATAAGCTTTTCCTCTTCTCTAACTTTCAAGCACAGGTTTATCATTGTTGCAAAGGCTCATGTAAATTTTCCAGTATTCTCTTATTTCCCTTAGTGTATTCTTGAGTGGAGAATAAGACGATCAGGGAGGCTTTTCCTTCAATATTTCCTGAACATTTGTGATTGCAGAATGTTCTCCTCTGGGACAGTGGGAGGGGTGGGAATGAAGGAGACATTGCTCTTGACCTCTGGGGGCTGCATTTTAGTGTGGAAGACAGACGTCATTAAATGAGCATGTTGCAGCGAAAGGCAGTTAAATGCATGTCTTGACAGTTACAGGCTCAGTGTTGGGGAGGGGCAAAAGAATGGAGCCTTTATTTCCAATTGGGAGGTTTGGGAGAAGTGTCACAGAGGGGTGGCATTTGGAAATATTTAAGAAATATTTAAGTGTCTACAGTCGGAATGTAGAATGAAAGACATTTCAGAATGGGGAAAAAACCCAAATCATAAACAGGCCATGGTCACATGTGTGTTTCTAGGAAAGCTGGTTTAAAGGTAGAATCTATGAAAAAATGTAAGAGGTACCATGAAATAAACTGAAAGACAAGTGGCAGTCAATCATAAAGATGGATGCCTTGGAGGAGATGGAGAGCAGTTTATTTTTCTCTTATAGAAAGTAAGATATAATTAAAGAGCTTGAGAAGATGTAGGAGAGAACCACTCCTACAATTTAGAAAATGGTCACAAAATATCGTGAAGAAAGACTTAGAAAAAGGGATTGGCATGCAAAGACATGAGTTCAAAGGCTGTTTTGGAAGGTCCACATAAGAGAATAAGAAAGGAGACAGAGGATTTGAGAATTCTGGGACATATACAGTGCAGTAAAACAACTGGATGTTGGTGGGTGTAAGAACAAATTAAAAACAGTCTATTTTGAAGAATAGCATGGCCGTGAAGACATAGATCACAGGAGAAGGGACATATTTGGTGGCAAAGAATGTGAGATGGGACTTGTGCAGAGAAATTCAATAGACAAGAAAGTGTGGTCTTCAGCCTGGCCAGACACTAAGGATAGATTTGATTAGCAGAAATAGTCTAGTCACCAGATGTAACCTCCATTGTAAGTTTATGCATCCAGAAGACAAGTTTATGATACAAGCCTTGAAAAACACTCATGTGGTGGTTGAACAGGGCCCAAAGACTGACTTAGTGAAGTTCCATGCGAACCAGAAATGTTGAGGACATGAGGACAAGACTGTCCAGGGGATTTATAGTTTTATCAAAAATTACATCTTTCTCTGATTTTCCATGTCACTTTTCCTAACTTGAAATGTAGAAAGAAGTAGAGAATTCAGAGAGAAACCTGAGAGGGATCCCAGCTCAGGAAACTTATACTTTCTTATACTTATGTTAGAAACATAAACAATTAATCACTTCACAAAGTCAAAAGAAGAATCAGGTGAGACAGTTTATGGTAAACTAAACATCTATATTTAGCCACAACCCAATGGCTTATCAAAATGGAAAATGCAAAAGTATTTTCTAGAAAATACTTTTAAAGATCAGTAACCTCTTGACCATATGTGAATGTACAGTTTTAAAATCGTATCCTCCCACACATTTGTTGAATTTAAACTTTCTCCAGATAAGACTTAACATGAGTTCAGTCGAAATGAATGAGTTGAGATGCAGCCATGACACCAACATGCATCAAGTATTATTTACATTTTGTGCTTGCACAGGTTCGTTTTCTCATTGTTCGAACTCAAGAAATGGAAGAAGTTCAGCATTCTGAACTGGGGTTTCAAATGAATTTTCAATAATTTAGGCAAATACTCTTCATGACAGAAAATGATGTTAATGGTGATTAGTGATGACACTCAACATCATGGTGCCATATATTGTACAAAATTCAGTTTGTTTTACATATCCTATCGGTGTTTTGAATTTGTTTAAAAATTTTGTTCTATAATGCCTACTATTCAGAACCATGGTTCTTAAATCTTTCAGTCCTCATATTCTATAGGAGGAAAAGGGAATCAGAATGATTAACTACTTTAAAATGAGACACCTGTGAGGGACTTTTGAAGCAATGCACTCACTCATGCCAAAACCAAATACTATAAATTCAGCATTTTCCAATTTTAAACCATTAAGTCAATAGGGGAGTGCCTGAGCAATCTACTAGGGAATCTAAAAGACTCACACTTTGGAAATCACACTTGTGAGATTTGACAACATGAGAAGATTTAGCATTGCCATTTTTCTCCTGAAAGGGGAAACATGTTATAATGGTTCCCAAGAATGCACCCATAAAAGCAGAGCATATTAAACTTGAGGAAAATGACTTGAAACTCTTCATATGATTGCCTGGTAGGAAGTCCATGCTAATGACAAATGAAGCAACCTAACAGCAAAATTTATTCACAATAATACATATAAGAGGCTGACTATAAAAAATTACTTGGGAGAAAAAGACTTTCATAATCGTGATCAATTTTGCCCCTGTGGGGGGAAAAAGGCACTAGGACTCTCAAAATGTGAGGAGTGAACTTGGCTTCCACTGTGAAACCTGGTATTCTGAGCCCACTTTTATGAAAGGAAATAGAAAGCTGGTTGTGAGCAGATGAAATTTGTCTCTTTTACAGATTTCCTTCCCCAACTTTTCCTTCTATTTGAGTTCCACACAGATTATTTTAATTGATGCATTCCTGTTTCAGGTGTCCCCTTGAAGCCCAGAAAAGAGTTACGATTTACTGAACTCAAGTCTGGACAGCTGGAGATTAAATGGTCTTCAAAATTCAATGTTTCCATTGAGCCTGTGATTTATGTGGTACAAAGAAGATGGAATTATGGGATCCATCCCAGTGAAGATGATGCCACTCATTGGCAGACTGTGGCCCAGGTAAGTCCTTTGTAGTCTTTGGTTTTTGTCCTTTGAGATAGTGTCTAGTGCACAACTTAAGAAAAATCAACTTGCTACGCCTCAAAGTAGCTTATCTGCAGAAATAAATCGGGTATGCAAATAGTACCATGCTTATCTTCTGAAAAGAGGATGAGCCCTGTAGATATATATGGTACACCTAGAAACTTGACTAGAGGCTCCATTTGCTCAAAATCCATGGAAACAGGAGATATTTTTATGATTCGATTACTCACATTAATTTTTCCCCTAGAACTACATTTCTCTCAGCTGAACTCAAAACCAAGTAGAGGAAAGGAAATGCAACATGTTAGGACTAGCGAACGTGTTATTTAAGAAGCTAAATGATTTCTCTTGTATTTTTACAACATTCAAGCCTTTATTTCCACCCAAGGATTTTAGTAGCAGGAGTAAGATTCATATCACAAAACTTATTAGTGGGAAATAGTCCACAGCTTTTAAATCTTTGTTAAGTGCTCTCTTCTTTGTCTTGGTGCACTTAAAAACTGATATACCACCTGAAAGGAAACACTCCCAGAGTTTATCTTAACAGTACTGCCTTCCTGCCTGTCTTGTTGATGAGAAAAGCAAAATATTTTCTTTCTTTTAAAGAGCTGCTAAATGGACTACCAGCTGCGTGGATATAGAAAAAGTAAAATGTAAAACTGTTTCATGCTTTTCAAGAACTAAAATGCATCCTCCACATTTATGTCTATAGGGAGAAGTTCTCACCTTAAGTTCACAAAATCATCTTTCTCTTAAGTACTAGTTTCCCAGTTTTTTTCTTTGTGGTAAATGCGAAATAAATTCTAATATTCAGGGTTTGGGAGAAAAAATTGATTTTTTTCCTCATGGTAGACTCTCAAAGGGGATAAATATTTAAAATAAAATGAAGATCTCAAAATGAGTAAGTACAGAGTTTGATGTAAAAGAAACCTTTGAAATTAGGGGTAAAAACCTGCCCAAATAAATTGAGCAATTCTATCCTATATGTCTCTTGTAAATAACAATTTCCTTCAAAAAAGCTTGAAGTTTCTTGGACTGAAGTCTAAAATTCCACTTGGCATACATAGCATATGCATATAAATAATAGTACAGATTCATGTGTAATTTTTTCAATGTAAAGATTTATGAAAACTGACAATCCAAACATCTCTTTTATCTCTTCTTTTTTTTTTTGGAAAGAAGAAAGCTCTTGAATAAAGAATTATTGCTGTCATTATTTTGCTAGTTAATGCCACATGTCATTGTCTTTGTTAAATGCTGTGATATAACACTGGCTTTCAAATTTTAAAACCCATAGCTAAAACTCTAAATAATGAAGTCAGCTGAAAGTGGTGTCTCAGGTTCAGCCTGTCAGGTGGAAAGCCACACTTAAAGAGTTTATATTCTTCCATTGATCTCAGAAATGCTTACTGTCTTTAGATTTTGACACAAATGTGATAATCTTTTCCAAATAAGGTGTTGTGAACTGAGGTTTGGAATGGTCCAAATGCCATCGTATTTCTCCAGTTTCTCACTGACAGCCAGGCTGAGGTAGGCACTAGGCAGAGCAGAGAGCACAGGCTGCTATGGGCCCATCAAGTATTGCTGAAAGGAGGAGTGAAGTGTGAAGTCATTACATATTTCAGGACTGTAGCGATAGAGACAGAACCTGCTGACTCTCCCAGGGTCCAGTTTTTTCCCCTTTTGGGTATTTTACTGGACAAGCATACACAAATTGTTTCCCCGTATCTGTGGAGAATTGGTTCCAGGACCCCTGCTGATACCAAACTCCTTTATGACATAGTATTTACTTATAACTTATGCATATCCTCTGGTATACTTTAAACTCTCTGTAGATGACTAATATCTGTAATAATACCTAACTAAGTATAAATATTGCATAAATAGTTGTCACACTGTATTTTTTAGGGAATAATGGTAGAAAAAATCCTGTACATGTTCAGTACAGACAGAATTTTTTCACAAATATTATACATCAAAGGTTGATTAAATCCATGGAAGTAAGTCTCATGGATACATAGGGTGGATTGTACTTAACACACATCACTCTTAGGACTAGGACTTCTTCCTCACAGATGTGATTTACTCAAACTGAGAAAAAAGTCTCGAAATTTTGTTTACTTCCAGACGTCAGCTTTCTTTAAGCACTTGCGTTCTTATACCTACTTCTTCAATTATATTTGGCATGCAAATTAAAGAGGTATTTTGTCCTGTATTCTACAATTAATTTCATTTTCTTGTCTCCAATGTAACGATGCTATATGCCTTTTTAATCAATTAAATCCCTTCCATGCTCTATTTAGTCACCAGGTTGAAAAATAGCCCAAGCATTTGTCAGAGATGTTTTATCTTCCAGAGATGTTTAAACAATTTGGGATGAACTATTCAATGTTTCCTGGACCCTGACAGCTCTGTTTGTATCTAGGCATGATAAGCTGGTCTTACCCATAGAAAAATCAAGGCTAAATTGCATAACATTGGCTGATGACTTTGTGTATTTTATTGAACAGACCCAACTGACATCTCAGAGTAAAAACTGACATGTTCCCTGTGCTTTGTGACATTTCCCTTCAGACCACAGATGAACGGGTTCAACTGACTGACATAAGACCCAGCAGGTGGTACCAGTTCAGAGTGGCCGCGGTCAATGTGCATGGAACTCGAGGCTTTACCGCCCCTAGCAAACACTTCCGCTCTTCCAAAGGTCAGTCCTCTTGTCCTGCCACAGGCTCTGGACACTTATCTTGTTCTGGGAAAACATGGAATAAAAATTTAATATCTCCAAGTTACTGTTGATGGCTGGCCAATGTTGGCTTTGCTGTTCTTAGAGAATGGGACCAGATGTGTTTGAAGGTACCATGTGAATTTATGGTTCATAGATATCAGTGGACTTTTACCTTGAAGATGTCACCAAAAATAATATAATAGCTTCAAAGTGGGGGTTATCCATTGTCAACTTTAATGATTTTTTTCCTTAGATATTCTACATCAAGCATTATCCAATTAATTTGGCAAGGGATTGTGCTTCAGCTATTTTAGATTATATAGAATATCTTGAAACAACTGCTAAATTGAGTGTGAATTAATCTTTTAGCTTTGTTTCATAACACCCAGAATTGAAACCCATCCTGAGTCATTTGATGTTGCTATAATTTTGTTCACTTCTTATTTCATTGCTCCTTTAAAACCTCGGTGGAATCAGATGAATGCTATATTACATTTGTGATTAATCTACTCTGAAAGAGTTGAAGAACATAATTTGACCAGATACAAATAATATCTTTGGGCTGATTTCTCCAATTATGTCCATATGGTTGTGTGCCTTCAAAATTAATTTAAAATCTGCTTGACTAATCATCAAGATCTGGTTTCATAGATACAGATCTAAAATGTTCATTTACTAACCAGGAATTATCTTCTTATATAGACACTAATTTACACTAATTTAAATTTTATTTTAAAACAAATGCATTGTGATATTGATGAATAATGTAAGACTTGTAGCATCAATGACATGAGTGCACAAATTGCAATTTCTGTTCCATGAATGGAAAAATATAGACACCTCAGTCTATCCATGTTTTACTGTATAATACTGCTACTACTTTCTCTGCATAATTACAGATCTCAAGTGGAAAATTTGCAATCAAAATAATTTAATATTTGTGTTCCATTACAATGTACATTATAGATTTCTAACAACCTTTTTTTTTGAAAATGTCATTCCTTTTCAAAAAGAGAAAGTTGTATTACTGTTTTAGGAAAGCAAATACAATAACTAAGCAAGCTTTAAAGAGAAATTATAGATAAAGACATCAAGCCTTGTCTTGTGAGAAGACAAGACTCTGTCTCCAGCTGCTCTCACCATTTCAAGGAGCTGGAGAAATGAATAATTAATGGTAGGTTAGGCGGCAGGAATCAATAAAAGGCTTGAGGACTCTTCACCTTGGTTTCACGGTTCAAATGTGATCCAGACCTGTGGTGGGGAAAATGTCTTCCCATCTGTTCAGTCGCCTGCAGGAATTAGGCTGCTGCTTTCAGAACAAGGCTGCAGTCTCAGACATCTGACAGAAGCGGTTCCTAGGCTCTGGAGACAGGTGTTGAGCTACCTATAAGAGCAGTATAGCGCCTCCTGCCTCCTGGAGGTGGGAAAGGTGGCTTTGCTCCCATGAGTCTTTGCAGAACTTGGAATCTTGGTGTTAGAAGACCCTTTGGACCTGGGTAGAGGTCCTTTGATGGTCTCCAGGGCTGGTTCTGGGGTGCTAACTGGAACTAGGAAAGCTGTGCTTTCTTAACACTTCCTAGTGTACCTGAGCAACTCAATAGTTCAGAATTAACATCGCATCCCCTGAATTTAAATTGGCTTCTGTTGATTGAAAATTTACCAATTCTTGAAACATTATAGTTACCATTATAACATCACAGTTCGCACTTTTACAAATATGCCCTACATGCATACTTGCACACATCTCATTGGGAGGAGCATCTCAGGCTTTAGTCCCTGCAGTCTTACAAATTAAAAATGTCTACACAGTGAAGATGCATAGGAGAATAGAAGATGCATATAGAATAGCATCTATAGTGTCATAGATAAGCTAAGCGGTGGAAGACATTCCTTCCAGGATCTGCCCAAAGGAAAGTTCACCACTAATGAGTTGGCTCAGTCATTCCTTACCTTACTCAACTCAAGCAGAGAGAAAAGCTTTACTAAGAAATATTTTCTACCAACTTAATTAAAATCTAATTTATATTCCATAAAGTTTACTCCCAACTAAGTCTACACAATGATTTTTACTACTTGCTGAGCTGTGCAAACACCACCAACATTTGGTGTTAGCTTCGTGCCATCATACCAATAAGATCTTCATGTCTTACTGGGATGCGAAGGAAGAAAAAGTTGTTTTTTCTGGCTTCACCTTTTATTGTCACTTCTGTGTCTCAAATGCAGCCCTATCAGAATGATGAGCATACTTCAGTTTAGTATATCCACTCCTCATAAAAACTTCTTTGTAGAAAAGAGCTGGAAATATAGCAGTCACATTGATTTATAAATTATTACTCCTTTTCTGAAATACATACATCCCCAAAGAAATAAAGGACTTTCCCCTTCACCATTCTCTCTCTTCTCTCGATGATTAGTTTAGTAATTGGCAATGCTGTTTTTCTTAAGCAACTCATAACCAAATAACCAAAGATTTGTTCTTGACTCTAGTCATTTCCTATGAGCCACGAGGAAATTTCCAGATCCTCTCAGATGTCCCTCACCATCTATATTCCCTAATCATGGCACTTGTGGCTTTATCCAAGTTCCTCTCATCTCTGACTAGGACTGTTGCAACAGCTTCCTGACTTCCTCCTGCTGCTGCATCTGCTCCCCTTTGTTCTAATCACAACATTTTTCATGACCCCCCCATTAAAATCTAAGTCACTTCAAGTCAACTCTTTGCTCAACATCTCCTAGCAGCTTCCAAATAGAGACTGTGCTCTTTGCAGTGCCTGTGAAGTGCCAAAAATCCATCTCTTGTCTCCTTCCTCTCAGACTTTATTTTCTGGCCTCCCTGTTCTACCTAATCTCCTCTACGATTCTCAGAATGTCATCAGCTCTCCTTTGCTGCTGGACATTTGCACTTACCACTTCTTGGAGCTGCAATGGTCTTCTTCAGATTGGTGCAAGACTACCTCTTTCACCTCCTTTATACAAACGTGTCTTTTTCAGCAAGACCTTCATTGACTACTTTTCATAAAATTATAAACAAATCCACATCTCTCAGGGGCCATTCTTTACTTGACTTATTATCAGCTACCACCTCTACCTTACCATACTGGAACATTTTACTTACTAATCTTAGTTACGGTTTTTTCTTTATGCAAGTGAATGAGTGTGTGAGTGTGAGTGTGAGTGTGTGTGTGTACCCCCACAGGAGTGGATTTTTTGTTATACAATACTTTATTTAAAAATTTTTTTTCTTTATGCAGAATACATTTTCTCACTAGCAATTCCCATAGTGGGAAAGTATTTTACTATATTTTATATTTGTGGACAGATTATTTCAAGACAAGAGAAATTCATTTGAGGGAATTCTGTTTAGAATTTGTAGTCTTGATACATTTACAAGGAACTCTTTCCTAAATGGAACTTCTCTAAATTAAAAAAAAACCTCTCCCAGCTTTCTTTCCTAGAATTTAGAAATCTGATGTGAGATGTCAGCACCTATGATTTTTACAGTTTCCCTAGGACATGTAATCATCAGTAGCTGGTATCAACTGAATGGAGATATTTCCACACATTAAACCCTGTGCAATTTTCTGCAAAGTCTTTACTCATGAATTAACAGTCTTTCTCTTTGTCCATTATTCCCAGGACAAATAAAAAATATTATTATATATTGATAGCAATAAAGCTGAATTATCTTTAAGAGACTGATAAATTCAAAGGCAAAAAACCCCTCATATGTAATGTTTACTTATACTATGAGTCTTTTAAGCTGGGAGACATCCCATTAACTCACCAGAATATGGGTCAGTCTCAAAATTTCTTATATATAATTCCTCTTAAACCTTTCCTTGACAATTAAACTCAGAAAATACCCATGTGATTAGGATGTTTATCTGCAGTGGATGTATCTGTTATTTCCTCCTTATCATGAGCTGAATGGCACTACAGAGCAGAGGCAAAGAGGCATACAATCAACTCTTAAGGTGTTAAGTCTAAAAAGTCAGAGCTTCCACTGTGTTGCAACAATTTTCTAGATACCTACACCATAACAAAGCTGACCAAAGGTTAAAGCTGAGAGTACCCATTGGCCTGCCTTGGTAGCTTTCTATGATGCATTCCCATAGGCATAGTAACAACGTATCCAAGGCCCCAGTTACAACGGAGAGTGAGATGCTGCAGCCAAAGAGTAGTCCATTGCAGAGCAAGGTTTCAAAATGCAGCTGGAAGCAGGCCCAAGAGCAAAGCACTAACAACCCTCTCACCAGTCCACTGGAGAGATGCAGCTTTGAAACCAGCATGGCAGCTTGATGACAGGTGAATGTGCTGTACTCCCCACTATCCTGGGGTAGATCCATCTTGGACAAATGCTGAGACATATAAGCAGGTCTGACCACTGAGATATGGAAGAGCAGAATTTGTCTTCCTTGGTTACTGCAGGACGATTCAGCTTTAACAGAGCTTCCAGTTTGCTTCCAAGAGTAGACATTTTTGTCTTTTTGTTCATTTATTAACTCAGTTCCTAGATCAGACACATCATAGCTGCTCAGCCAATCGAATAAAAGAAAGTGTGAATTATAAGTAATCAAAAAAGAAGCCAAAGACAAAAAAATAACTTATTTTTCTACCCTCACATTTTCCCATTAAGGCCTGAGAGATGGTATTGAGAAGATGTACTGATTCTAATGCCAAGTGTGGGTGATGGCTGTACAGTTCAGTAAATGCTAAAAGTCTCTAGATTGTAAACTTTTGATGAATAGGCTTTATGGTATATAAATTGTATTTCAAATATTACCCAGTAAAGCTTCTCCTTCCATTTGATGAGATTGAAGAGGGTGGGGGTAGGGGGAGATGTGGCACCATCTTTTTAGTCTCCTTTGGACAGATCTTGGAGACGATGTCTTTCCATGGTTTAGCTGGTCTATGATATACCCGCCATTCTCTGATGCAGCTTCACTGAAGACATATTAGAATCTTCTCTGAGATCTGTG